TTTTGAAGAATATTTGGAACAGTCCTGCCAAAATTTGTTAATTAAAAAAACATACGAAAATCAAGTCTTGGATTACCAATGGATTGATTATTTCGATTATTCAAAGAGATAAATTGAAAAAAAATTTACGAAAACATGGAAATGATGAAAGACTGTTAAATAACTTCAGACTTCATCGTAATTACTTGAATAGACTAATAAAAAAGACAAATGAACAATATTATAAGAACAAACTGAAAGAGGTCGAGGGAGATATAAAAAAAATATGGAAAGTAGTCAATGAAGCAACTGGGAAAGTTAAAAATAAGGAAAATGTAAATGAAATATATGATAAATTGATGGATGTAGCCGATACTACGTGAAAGGAGATCATAATGAAAAGAGAAATGAAAATTTCTATGTTTTTTACCACTTTTAATTGTAAATAACGTTACTGCAGTTTAGTCCTATATGGACATTCTCAAACTAATACAATAAACTAACAATGATTCATTACATTCGCCAATATATACCATTCAGGTACTTGATTGAGTACCTGAATTTACAATGCGAATGTGGCAATTTAAAAACCGGAGGGTAAATTAAATCGATTTGATCATTTAACAGGTTGCAACCACAATGTTTATGCTTGTAAATTTCCAAGGATTCTAAATAATTGAGTTTGCAACCCTTCCTTGCATAGTGCAGAATTTCCGTATCGTTTAGATTCGGAAATTTGTGGTTGCATGCCAAGGAATGGCATGCAACCACAGGTCTGAAGGACCTTTCATGTTCAGCATACCGTTTTTGGAAATTTGGTCCGCATTATCCCACATAAAACTATTACACTCCGGACACTTAAGCTTATTAACTCCAGATTTTTCCAACTTGTCAAGCTTATCCTTGGCATTGAAAAGGAAATGAGATAACCTGGCATGTGGTCTGAATGCTACGTCCACATTGTTTTTTCTGAAGAAACCTGCGATTATTTCTGTTCTTTTTCCAAAATATGTTAGCGTTACCCATTTCTTGATTTCTGGTTGTTTGACCTGAGGATATATTAATCTGTGAGTGAATTTCCGGCTTTGTTTCCTGACTAACTTCTGGATACGATCTGTGTTGAAACCACTATTGACCTATCTGTGTAATTGTATCAATTTCCCTAGCTAGATTGTCTGCAGACAAAGGCAGTGCTAATGCTCTGTGCAACATTGAGTTGTAGGCTGCTAATTTATGACTGTCTGGATGGAAAAAATCGCTTGGGATGGTGTATAGCTAGGTTTTCTGAAAACATTGAACGCGACTTTATTCTGATTTTGTATAATGGCCAGGTCTAAGAAATTTATCTGTTTCTCTATCTCAAACGGTTTGATACATTTTACAATTCTGAATCGTCTGAACTCAAAAAAAATGTACGATGAGTCTGAACAGCGTATACTTTGCGATAGTTGATAAATTGAAAAAAAAACAAGAACACGGCAGACCAAATTTTTGCAAAATCGTTTTCTTCAAAGCAACCATGAAAAAGTGAAATTTGCTCCTAGGACCTCAATATAGGACTCTCTATGATTACATTTGTCTAAACGGTTAACGTGCGATTCCTAGCACCGTTCAGACGAAAATCTGAAATCCCACAGTTTGACATTATCATGACATAGTGGTGGATTCAATGATTAGAACGAACCATTCATGTCAACCAACCGGCTATCGACCGCTATAAGTTCGACTTTGATCTCAAAATTTCGACTTTAATCTCGAAATTTCGATCTTAATCNGTTGATGTTTTCATGCATAAATTATTCAGAGTTGTTAGTGGTTCAACTAGAGCTGAGGCACAATCTTTAATGATGAATGCTGGAATATGATTAGGTCCCGCAGTAAATTTAGGCTTTAATTTTTTAGGGTATGATAAACATCTTCAATACTGAAGTTTTTGATTACTAAGCTGGGTATATCACTACTGTTGTTCGCATGGTCACTTGATGTTGACACTATATAAGAACTACTGAAGAAATCTGCAAAACCGTTGTATTTTTACAACCGTTGTCTGAGAGACTATCGAGTAGCTTGCCTGCTGCCATCTCCGATTCCATTCGTATATTTTGACTTGTTAATGAATGACCAAAGCTTATTGGGGTTATGGATAATCTCGCTCTTAGTTTTTTGATGAACTTTTTATAAGCTATTATAATGGCTGCTTTGATTTCCTGCCGAAGACGTTTGAATTCGTAAAAAGCGTGAATGTCGCCGTTTCTTTTGTATTTACACCAAAATTTTGTTTAAGTACGAATTTTCTTTATCAATGCACCATCAAAGTAGGCTGGATAATTATTTTTAGAATTTATCGCTTTTGGCACGCAGCGATCAAATACACTGTATAATTTTTCATAAAAGTGAAGACATAATCATCTGCATTGCAAAACGCATTTGGAAACGCCCAATCGAGATTGAGGATCAGCTCATACATGAGCAGAAAGTTAGCTTTTTAAAAATTGTATGCATCTTGGTATCATGATGCAAATTTATTCTTCGAGTTCGTTTTGAAGTTCAGTTCGCATGTTATTTCCAAAGCAGGATGATGACCGTCCTCTTTTACTAATGGGTCTAGGGATTTTTCAACGAGACAGAAGTGATTGCAAAACACCAGGTCTAAAAGTCTGTGCATCTCACTGAAAACAAAGTTATTTTGCAAAATACTACGATGTGTTTCTGAATATGACGCATATTCAGGTACGTTAAAGTCCCCAGCCATCAGAATTGCATGGTCATACAGTGGGGCAAGCGATTCTACAGCTTCCCATCAGAATGTTCCAATTTCATTTATCGTTATTTTAGGGGGGATATAAACGTATATCTCAAAGAGGCTGTTATCGGAGAAAGACAATTTCACAACTACGTTATAAAAACACTTTCTGTGCCTCGCCACTGCCATCAATCATATCAGTTTGAAATATATTTCAAAATATCTTGGAACTATAATATGATTATTATTCAATTTCACAACAGTAATCCAAAATTTCTTCTGTAATTATTCAGAAATCAAGTAACACGTTATATACCGATTATACTATACAAATAAAATAATTCGTGTAGTGAGGTTATCACCTATCACTAAAAAACAGTCTTCATTTCATAACAAGAATACTTTATGAATTGAATCGTCCTTCGGCAACTTATCATTGTTCTCACCTTCTTCACTTATATCACACAAAAACCCTCGTCTCTACTCAAGAACTAACATGAAAAAGGTCGCCCAAAAATACAAGCGTAATTGTAACGTTACGATTCACATATATTAGATAATTAGATGAATATTCAATTCTCAATGAAAAGTACATGACTGATGCGAATGCATACCTGCGAATGCGAATAATCCATTACAGAAAGTATTTTTCAATCAAAGTAATTTTCATCTTTCAGAATAAACATTTAAAAAATTTCAATAAATTTTTCCAGTGCCCACAAAACATCAAACTTTAAAGTAGGTCTTTCGATGACAAGAAACGCTGCTTGGAAATACTGGAAAGAATTCCATATTTGTGATGATTTTTCTATCATTTGCCCTTCTATACATTTGAAAATTCATTAGTTTTAATATGCATGGGACTTTCTTCGCCATCAGTTTAAAAGATAAGACATTTTTGAGAGATGAAAAAACCTGATTCAGACGATGATTCGTTGTTATGAAAATAAGTGATATTTATAGTTCAAGCGAATGCAAACAACGTTTCGCGATAATGACCCGACAAAGGAGTCTTTAGTCAGCAAAACGATAATTACTTTCGGGGGTTCTTTATCATGAGTTAATTTCGTGGAGAAGCAAATTTCAGTTAATACTTGGATCTTATTTAGTTAGCTAAAGTACGATATTATTCACAAACAGTACAGTAACAAACCTAACACAATTTTCGGCTCCAACAGCCATTCGAGGGAGGTTAAAGTAATTTTATCCTAATATAAAAACACATATTTTCCTCACAAAAGATCGAGTAGATGTGAATGACAATGGTCGCTCGCCCTGGACGCCCCAACTCATCAACAACCGATGAAAATGTTGTGAAGAGAGAAAATTGTTATGGAGAATCATCAAATCACTATTAGAGAAGTTGCTGAGGATTTCGGCATATCGGTTGACTCATGCCATGCAATTTTTTTCTTAAATTTTGGCTATGAAGCGTGTGGTAGCGGAGTTCGTTCCAAAATTGCTGAATTTGCTCAGGAATTGTTGAGTGACTTCAACGGCGGTCCAGGGTCATAACTACACGCTAACTTAACTCTCGATATTTCAGTATAAAAATTAATAAAACTATATTTTGCTCCTCATAAAACTCACAAGCCGTTAGCGAAACGCGCGTTGAGACACCTTAATTTTTTTGATCTGGTGTTGGGAAAATGTTTTCAATAGATTAATAATTGGTTGTTGCCCATAAAATAAACTGTCTGAGTACAAAGACTCAGCAACAAAATTAAAACCGCATAAAGATGGAGAAGTGAAAAGCCAAAACCTTTTTTTTATTATTATCTCTTGTCAATCTTCAGACGATTCTGAGACATTGTAGCGAAGGCCGGGCAAAGTGAATACACTGGACAAAGCGAATACTCCTCACTACTAAATTATTCGTGTGTGGTTCAACATGCCACTACTGTAACGTTCGGCCATGACGTTTCGATTTTTAGTGGTGATGTGTTATTAAACTACGTTTTTATAGTATATTTAACAAAGTATCAGGCTAATAGGTTTTTTAATGAAATATGTTAACCAAAAAAATTACGCAGTCGGGCAAAATGGATAGAGCGAAGTGAATATGGTACCCACTTTGCCTGTAATTTGTGACTATTGACTTAAGATCTCATAAAGTGTTTTATTCGTTTCAGATGGTGAATAAATATAAAAAAGCTAAACAAGGGTCGTGGACTTCAGAAGCAACATCGGTTGCAAGGGCGATAGAATTCAACAGACGTGAAGTTGGGCAATTTGAAACTTTGACTGTAAAATATGATACTGATGATACAACATACAACATTGATGAGACTGGTATATCAACCACCACTAATAAGCCACCTAAAGTGCTATCAATAAACGGAAAGAAGCAGGTGGGCATAATTGCCAGTGCAGAACGTGGTCAATTTTAATATTTTTCAGGAAAAAGATGCCGCCCAGGCTACTCGATAGTGCGCCTCCCGACACTCAAAAAACCTGTTCTTCAAATGGTTAGACTTCAGGTGAGGTATTCCTCGATTGGATGCATTTTTTGTGGGATATGTTCGACCCACCCTCGAGAAAAAAAAAATACTTCTTCTATTGGACAACCACGAGAGCCATTAGTATTACCCAGCTTTGGATTACACCAGCGAAAAGAAGCTCATAAAATGCAGCTTTGGATGTAGCAATTAACGGGCCTACTAAAAACATATTTTGAAAGGAATGTTAATGTTTTTCAAAAATCACACCCAGGACGCATTATAAATTGATATGATGTGGCCAAACTGTTATCGCCGGCATTTTGGAAAGTGCAGTAGCTATAAATGCAGTTAATGGGTTTGAAAGACCCGGTATTTGGCTAGTTGATGAATATGCTTTTTGTGACGAAGATTATGAACCAGCCGCCGTGATTGCAGGTACATCTGTTAATATGAATATTCACACAGAAGGCACCAGTTTACTAGAAACGATTGATACTCGCGGACCTGCTACAGAAACTTCGTCAACCCCTTCACCTTCACTTCTTCAAGAACTTATTTCTCCGAATCCAGTCAATTCTTTAGTAAAAATAACTCCATGTTCGAGTAGAGCTTCCCCGTCTGAGCTTCAAGCCTTTGTTACGCCAATTATAGTCTCTCTTAACACACCTGAAAAGATTAGTAGTGATGTTGGATCTACAGGCACACCTCAACTGGAACCTGGATGTTTTCCATCTTTCTCCGCTTTCGAACTAGATGCAACAACAAATGCCCAGAAAAGTGATACATTGCGGCTACAAACTGAAGTAAATATTGAACAAAATGCGAGCATTTCACTGGATCCCAAACCTAGATGCTTAACTTTTCCATGCAGCCCCTTTATGTTGATACCTATATCAAATCCTGCAAAATCGATCCCTACAGAAATTGGCCTTTCTATTATTTTTTGTAAAATTAATTTAGGGTGGTACACTTGTATGGGTGGTATGTATTACTGATTACCTATTTGTATGATGTACCCGAATAGCATAAATAGCTTTAGTTTTCAGAAGTTTCTAGTTTTATCTTCCTCTTGAAGATGATCACTTGGTGATCTAAACACGTGTCGAGGTGTAAAAATAACGATTTGGTGTTGGGAAAAAACTCCAGTGATATTCATTACTACACCAAAGGTTCCAAACAGTACATCATAAAAACAATTTACTCTCTTGACAGGTTGTATTTTCTCGTATTTATATTTACAACACATCACTGCCTTTTCGTCAATAAACAAAATGTTATCCAGTTGCTTCAGACAGCATGTATATTGTATGAGATACTGACTTACAATTTATACATCATAGATCGGACTATGATCTTTTTTTGCACCTTTCACATGTTTTATTTAAGGAACATATGGATACACCTTGTGCATCGCTGGGAAATTGTCGTCGACTTAACGGGAATAATTTCATTTTCTTCCAAAGATGATATTTCCACCATTCATAAGTTTAAAGATATCTAGAAGGAAGTGATTTTTTACTTTTATTTCTCTGTGGATGATAACGTACTTCGCTGGCATTGATACTGCAATCATTGGCTTCTCCAAAACAATGATTTTTTTCGACAAGAAAACTTATATTTCTTCAAGGTCAGCAACTATCGTTTTCCAAAATTTGGTTCTATGTAACTGCAACTGCTATTCGCTGCAAGTCTGAATCTGCAATAAAAAATAATTCATTTCATAACTGAAACAAAAACGAGCACACAAAAAATCAATTTCATTCATGACACTTCTTTGCATGTATCATCCCCAGAAAACTCAAAATAATTACATTTTTGTACGGGAGTGAATTGAAAGTTATACTGGGTTCATGGGTTTTTATTCACATACTGCGAGATTTCACCGCCCTCAGTCGAGGATTCAAAGAAAGATCACTGACGCGCACATTGATGAATAGCGGGCTCTGTTTTTTACATCAAATAGTGAATGAGTGTTTGGATTTTCTCACATAAAATCCAATTAGCATGCATTATCTCCTACCTGGCAGCCATTTCAACTGAAATATACCCGTTTCACGGCCAATAATTCACCTTTTTGGGATATACACATCCAATATTATTTGAAAAGACCTCCATCTTTCACACGACAACCAATGACACTTTAACACACCATGCACGACCAATGACATTTCAGCACATCTGTTTCACATGATAATCAATAACGCTACATGGCTACTCCATTGATAGCGGCAGCTAGATAACAACGTCTCATTTTGAAGAACACCCATAAATGTCCAATCCCAGCTCCCTCACCCCAATCCACTCTGAAACCCATGGTCAACCTCCTATATTGAATACAATTACACCTTAGGTAATCTCCCATCCAACACAAAAGATACTTCCTCCCACGCCGCCAATACCAAGCTTCACACTATTTGTATGAAGGAAAAGTTGATTTCAACTTTTCCTTGATATCACGTGGTCCGGGCCGTCGCGTGGTTTGTGGGAGCTCGAGGCAAGGCTTAAATCGGCGCCCCCCTTGTTTAAACCCGTATTTTTGTCCGTTCCAGTTTTGGTTCAGGGGGTAATACCCTAGCTCTTCAGAGCCATTCCATTATCCACTACCTATGGATCCGCCATGTTCCGAAGTGGAAAATGCCGGCAGCTATTATAAATAACAGCATCACGGACACCCACCCTCCACTACATATTTTATATACATTGTATACATATACTAATACTGATTTATTTATTTACAATCTTCGACTTTTCATTCTCTGTCTTTCGTGCTCTTTTTTGTGGTCCATATATACAAACTTTAAACTTTGGAAGGCATTCGTCTGGCTTTCGCATTAGCAAATGTTCTCAGAATTTCTTTGAAGTCTAAGTCTTTATGCTGTGACATTTTCTTTCGATAGAATGGCGAGAGAGTTCAACCTTTACTGTGTCATCGTAGACCGCAAATACGTTTTTATAAGCTTATGTTTACTAAATCTTCGTTCGATACCAGCAACTATCACGGGTATTGTTAGCGCGACCCACAAGTTTGGGAACAAATATGCACTGTTTGTGGTTTGGATCTTACACTATAGTTCTTTTGGTGTGACTTTGATGTTTTTTGTTTCCATGATCCAAAATCGAACTTACATGTAAAACTCATGATACGGTTGTTTCTTCTGTTAAATGTTTTTCAATGTTTTCAAGTTGACTTGGGTGTCACACCAATAGGTGGTTCCACTTATGTCTCGCTTGCGTTTACGCAGTTATTTCTATCGAGTACTTTTCTTGGTTTTTCAAATCTTGCCTTCAATCGAGGACCACCTGCCCGGTACTGACGATGCCCAATAGGCTGAAACAGCTGTCTACCGGTGGCTCTTAAATTGAAATCAATATGGGAATGATCAAGATAGTACTATCTTTTAATCTTTATATATACANACATCACCACTAAAAATCGAAACGTCATGGCCGAACGTTACAGTAGTGGCATGTTGAACCACACACGAATAATTTAGTAGTGAGGAGTATTCGCTTTGTCCAGTGTATTCACTTTGCCCGGCCTTCGCTACAATGTCTCAGAATCGTCTGAAGATTGACAAGAGATAATAATAAAAAAAAGGTTTTGGCTTTTCACTTCTCCATCTTTATGCGGTTTTAATTTTGTTGCTGAGTCTCTGTACTCAGACAGTTTATTTTATGGGCAACAACCAATTATTAATCTATTGAAAACATTTTCCCAACACCAGATCAAAAAAATTAAGGTGTCTCAACGCGCGTTTCGCTAACGGCTTGTGAGTTTTATGAGGATCAAAATATAGTTTTATTAATTTTTATACTGAAATATCGAGAGTTAAGTTAGCGTGGCCCGTTCATAGGTATACCGAACTCTTCCGACTTCCGGAGCAACAAATTATTATGCAAAGTTTTTTTACGGAAAAATCGAGAGTTGAGCTAGCGTGGCTCGTCCGTAGATTTATCAGTCTCCAAACTTTTTCCACTTTCGGCTTAATAATACAAGTTTCAAGACAAAAAAGTTGAGAGTTAAGCTAGCGTGGAAACTCTCTAATTTGAAAAAATGGAATTTATTTTTTTTCTGTTTTCTGTAACATCTTACAGCAACAAATTTACCTTCATTTGTTTGATCCATGAATTCAAATTCTAGTCAGTTTCACGCTATCTTAATAGAAAGCTATGACTGTTTTTTCGTGATCAGTTCGAGCAACAAAATTAATGTTCTAGCAACTAATTAGCAACGAATTTTGAGTTTATTTTTTTATTCCGTTAAATTTACACCGCCAGTTTCTTAGACCTCCGAAAGCACAACAATCGGCTGGAAGGGTTATTGCTTCGGTATTTTGGGATGTGCGTGGTTTAATATTCATCGACCATCATTCAACTTGATGAAAATCAATAACACTATTCATGATGCTTATTTAAAATGTTAACAATATATACTTCATTTCCAATACGCGTTTTACTAAAACAGTAATTTGTCCAGTCCACCAACTGCGAAAACTATTGTTGTATTGAAACATGTATTGGAAATGAAGTGAATAACTTAAAATATTGAGATTTTATTTATGATCCGTGCTTAAATGAGGATGATAAGAATCCTATATATGAAAAGAAAAAACCAGTCATTGTAGACCGATATATGTAATAAGTAAATATGATTCAATTTTTCACGAACTCATAGAATGCAACTGCAACAATTATTAGAAACACATCAACCTTGATCATGCCCCAACACAAAACTGCTTTACTATTCCGTATCATTCTTTGTATTTGAAGCAATACCTATATGAATATATAATTGAGAAAGATCTAACAATCTTGAATAGAGGCACGGAGCAGACATTTATTAACGCCCGGTATCACAGTCAGATGATACAAATGCAATACGGATTTATACAGACGACTCAAAAACCAAAGAAGGCTCAGGGTGTGGATTGTACTCCAGATCACTAAGCCTAAGGATTAAGTGGGGAATGGGAAGAAATACCAGCGTGATCCAAACAGAACTGGCTGGTATCTCAATCGCCACAAAGAAATAACCAAGAAAGGAATTTCTAGCAAAAACATAACAATCTGCACTAACAGCAGACAAGCCCTATTAGCCTTGAACAGACAACATGTAACTTCAGGGCTAGTACTAGAGTGTCACCAAGATTTAGCCAAATCCTCTGTAGATAATAACATTATCCTGAGGTGGGTTAAAGGGCACGACAGGAGTAAAAGTAATCGCATTGCCGACTCTTCAGCCAAGGAAGCGGCTGGACTAAGAAGTTTAGGACCCAGTGGCACCTACGGCCTGATGACTTCGATAATTGCGGAACTAGTCAAATGTTACGCCCATGCTCAATCCTTAAAGAGATGGGACGAAACCAAAATATGTAATCTTGCCAGGATCACCTTGGGTTGAGGAGTGCCAGAAGTTTGAGGAGTGCCAGAAGATGACAGTACTACCAACTGTCGAAAGCGCTCGCAGATATATATTTATATTTGAAACTTCATTATACAACTATTACACCCTGCATTTCAATCACATTCCACAATTAAGTTTGAATGACGTCTAACCTGTTCTAGTTTTCTTGCAAGTAATTTTGTAAATAAAATTATGTATAATATCGAACTAATTATTTCTATAGTACTACTCATTCTTGGAAATCGATAATAATCACTCTCTAATCCTGAGCGGAGACTTGTTAATAATTGTCCGAAGGCGTTTCAGTAAATCCCCAGTTTCCAGAATGAAAAACATTAACTGTATATACAGATTTAGCATTTTTGCCATTCAAATACGAAAACAACTGAAAATTCTAAAATTCTATTTTTTGTTGTATTTTCTTCATATGCGAAGGAAGATACT